GATGAAAGATGCCTAAACAGCTGTGGGGCATGTAGTAATGCTGGATAACTGTGTAGTACTCAAGAGACAAAATTAATCTGTCGATTCATGATGTATCTAGTAGAAATACAGTAATCTAATGAGCAGTTTAAGGTTTTCCTTGGAGAGCCTGTTGATGTAATAGAATAGTGCTTACACTTGAATAGCTGATAGCATGTAAATAGAAAAGGCAAAGAGTGGCAAGGGAAAGTGAGACAGAAACTCATGTGTTCCCTGAGGTGTAAAAGAAGAAGAATTTGGAGAGTCAGATGAGGAACATTTCAAAACCCATTTTCATTTTCTTCAGCACTGGTACAGGAAGGGAGTTTCCATCCATCCTAAGGGCTTTTTTGGGTAAGTGTGGACTATTTTGTAAGGATTAGGAGGATTTAGGTGCTTGGAATTTGTTTTGTTACACATTATTTTGATTAAATGAAAACATTTGGACTTGATTAAATTAGTTTATCTGGAGCTGTTCAAGGTTGTTTGAGTATCTTGAAAACAAATTAGATGATGTAATTACATGGACAAACTGTGTATCAGTGGTTTCCTAGCTTCTTTGTTGATGATTTCATGCCCTATTCTTGTGTTTCCAACCCATAGTCATGGCAGCTTTATCGGGATACTTGTTGCAAATGTTCTCTTTTTTCCTGTGCATTCAGCCTTTCAGAGACTCCTTGTGGGGGCATGTCGACACACCTTCTCTGCTTGGCTCATTTTGAACAGTGATACCCAACAAGCTGTGCCAGGTTGGGGGGAATTAAGGCCTTTGGATGCTAGAGAAATCAAAACTTGTTATTACCAATTAATTGCCCAAGTATGAAAAGATTACTTAAAATGTTTGTAATTCCTTAAACCTTTCTCAACCTTTCTAAAGGATGAATGTTCATTTATATTAAGAAATCGTTAAATTTGTTCAATCATATGTTGGCTGATCCTTAAGAGACAGTTGAGAGACTTGGTTTACAGCAGATCTGAGTGAAGAATTTGTTGCCTTTCTTATGTCCATTAATACTTTCTTTGATTTGTTTATAAGATATCCATGTGTGAACTGAAATTTCTTGTTGTCTTGTGCAGACCTATCTCCACATTTTTATCAGGCTCCGAGCAGCTAGAGGGTTTCACACCATAATGGATATTTGTATGTCCTTTTTTTTTTTTTCTCTTTTCAGAGGAAATGGCAACAGCCCAGTGAGAATCAGGCTCCAGTGCACCCTTAGTCTGAGTGCCAGTTGTGAACATACATGCAAACCCATCATCTTCTAATGGTCTCTCTGAGCACATGGGTCTGGTTTTTGTCAGGAACGTCCCCTAAGCCTCTGGCAGTGTTCAGCCATTCTGTTTGTTTAAGCTCTTTAACCTCAATGACAAAACAAAAAACTTTCATCAGTTGAGCTGTTCAAACATACCCTGGCTTTATATCCTGTTACTATCTTAAGTGGTCCTTTCCCCAGGGCTCTTTCGTCTTTGTTAACCTGAGATTCCCAGAGCCTTGTTGAGGAAAAGTAGCGTTTCCTTCCTTTGCCTTTTTGGAGGCTTGTCCCCTGCTTCGGCTCACTTTTCTCAAATGGTCTGTGTGTAATTCCAGCTCTGGTGAAGTTGTATGCCTGTGATTTCCAGCACCAATGTCATAATCAAATGGCCCTTTCTCCTGGCCATAAGCGACCTGAGGAAACGTCGTAAATAGCATGTGTGAGCTCACTATGCCTATTTAAAATTATCTGATATTTTATTTCAGTGTGTTTCATTCTTCATTTTTTGTTTTTTAAGTTCTCATAATATTTGCCATTTGAGATTATCAAGCTTTCAGTTTAGCCTGGCGATCACATCATATTTGTTTTTACATGACTAAGTATAACTTACAATTGTATATTTCAGAATTTTTAATTTTTTTATTACAGAATTTAATATTCTCTGAATAGATTTAATGTATTCTCATTTAAAGTTCATTCCTCATACATTAGGCCAGACCTTCAAGAGATGTAAATAAATATATCTGCACATAAATCAGTTGACTGAGTGATTTGCAGCACATGATAATGTAGGCACCTTGGAATTTTTGTGTTCTATGTAAATACTGAGAAATTAAATATTCTTCATTATTTACCTCAAACTAGAGCTTTCAGTAGCATTTGCACTTATTTGCACAAGTTGTTTGTGCAAATATCCACAGCAAAGACTTATGAAGAGTGACATGAATGAACTCTTTTCTATTCGTATCTTACTTATCAGTATTTTAGCACAAACTTTTGTTGGCTTGAAAACAAAGCTTTTCACGTGCCCGTTGGTTACCCAGCAGGCTTCTGCAGGAGAGGAAAGCCTGAAGAGAGTAATGTAGAGACACCCACATAATGTGGCCATCCAGGTGCCAGCTGCTTTATAGGAACAGGAGCTTGGAAGAAATTAATTTATTTAATTTATTAATTTATTTTGGTGGAAATACTGGGTATGTTTATGTTGTTTAAAAGCTAGATTTTGCACATTACCTTGTATCTCAAGGCCAGAGGGAGCAGGAAGAAAATCTATGGAATAGGCTTCTTGCACTCAAGGAATTCCTCAGTGAGACTATTTCTGTCTGCCTTTGTTTCACTTTACTACTTTGAAGCACCAAAGTGCTGTCCCCTTAATGCTACTTTACACTATTTCATTGTACTTTTGCAGGAAAAAGATTTTGCTCTTGTGAGACCCCACCTGGAGTACTGCATCCAGCTCTGGGGGCCCCAGTACAGGAGAGACATGGAGCTGTTGGAGAGAGTCCGGAGGAGGGCCACGGAGATGGGCAGAGGGATGGAGGAGGACAGGCTGAGAGAGTTGGGGTTGTTCAGCCTGGAGAAAAGGCAGCTCCAGGGAGATCTAATTGCAGCTTACCAGTACCTGAAGGGGCCTACAGGAAAGATGGGGAGGGACTGTTTATCAGGGAGTGTAGTGACAGGACAAGGGGTAATGGGTTTAAGCTGAAGGATGGTCGATTTAGATTAGATGTTAGAAAGAAATTCTTTACTGTGAGGGTGGTGAGGCACTGGAACAGGTTGTCCAGCAAGGTTGTGGATGCCCCATCCCTGGAAGCGTTCAAGACCAGGTTGGATGAGGCTTTGGGCAACCTGGTCTAGTGGAGGGTGTCCCTGCCCGCAGCAGGGGCATTGGAACTAGATGATCTTTAAGGTCCCTTCCAACCCAAACCATTCTATGAAAACCACCTTAGCTTTCAACCTTGTTCAGGCAGATCTTTACAAGTACCTAACATTCTTTGTACGTTGTCACCGTTACAGTAAAACTGCTCGTTTGTGGCTGCTCAGGGAGAAATGGTACCAGAGAGAGAGATAGCTGTCATGCTTTTATTACTGTTGGAGTCAAAAATCCTTAATTTTGTCCTGAAGAGCAGTTCTGTATGGATGTCTTTTATACTTCACAAAAAAGTGAAACCTGTGCTGCTGTGGATAGCGTTCCAAAGTCAACCGGGCTTTTTAGTACAGTGTTACAGCTTGAAGTACTTTCAGTCAGTTTATATGAAATGAAAATAGGAGATAAGATGAGAAAAATATTAAATATACATTTGCAGAGTGGAGTGGAATAACAATTCTGGCTGTTTACATTTGTGTGTGGACCTATCTGGCGATCAGGCGTCACCATTCCAGACCCTGTCAATACAATGTGAGGGTGCTCTGTGATGAGCACTGTTTCTTGAGCACTTTTCCTGCAGCTGGGTTGGAACTCCTTGGACTGCCGAATGTCCTACTTCTTGCAACACACAACACACAAGGTTCCTTTTCCAATACTGAGGGTTTATGATATTAATAGTAGCAATAGGCTGCAGTTGTCCAGAGATTACACCATTTGGAATAAACTGGTTTCCTAATTACCTTGCGGTATCTACAGTTTCTCATTTTTATTGTAATTCAATATAGACTGAGCAATACCAATCCTGCAAAATGCTATAATTACTGTAAAGTCTAGATTTTTATTTATTTATTTTTACATCAGAATCTTGTCTTAAAGCTGACAAATGGATACTGTATGCTATTCCTCCAAAAATCTTTGATTTCTGAAAAAATGAACTTAGTTTGTCTTGAACAAAAACCTACAGTAATTTTTCCTGTTGTTTTTACATCATTTAGTTCTTGAAAACGTTGACAACTCAGCTAGATTACAGTTGATTATAAAGTCCTGCATCATATTTTTAGAGAGTGCTGAATCATGTTTATTACTGTTTGTATCTCTGAGTTAAGAAATACTTTTAATTTGATGTTGACATTTTTCATGTTTCATCTGATAATTTATATTACTGTAAATGTGGAAGTACTAGCTGACACAGAAGTAATTACCCATGTCTTTATATTGAAGTTAAAATATTTTAATACTTTGGAATTTGTCTCTGAAATCGTTTGAGTAGAATCTCTCAGTATTTTTATGATCTTCATGGGTGGGTATACAATTTAGCTTCTTTTATCTGAGAGATAAATGTTAAGCAAAAATCTACATACATAGTAAGACATGGTTTTCCAGAGAACAACCAAAGCTTACAGTGAAAATGGAAAACTTATCCCAGTACTGTCACCAGTACTCTCTGGTGAGTTTTTCCCTAGTCTTCCAGGGAACTGTAGGTTATCTAGGTTTTTCAGAAATGGGAGGCTGACTAAGAGTAACTGTACTGAAGTGTGAATAAGAGGTGCAGCCAGGCACCACATTAATTTAGCATCTTGCTTAACAGCATAATGAAATAAAGTAGCTGGGATTTCTAAGGGAAGAATGTGCTTTTCATGGAGAGAAGATGTGAACCAGGCAGAGGTCACAAGGAGGGGAAGGGAAGTGGTTCTACCACAAGGCAATCAAAATCGCATGTCAGATGGGTAGTCATTCCTCAGATGTTGGAATAACAAAGGGACCCAGCCTTGTCCCTTTCCTCCTCAACGTGTGTGATTTGTGGTCAGATAATACTAAAGCTCAAGTCATTAACAATATTTTTCTTTCTGTTTTCATTTCAGTTATTTGCCACCTTCCATGCATGAATGGAGGCCAGTGCAGTTCTAGAGATAAATGCCAGTGCCCTCCTAATTACACTGGTAAACTTTGTCAGATCCCTGTGCAGACTGCCAATACTCCAAAACTGTACCATCACCCACAACAGGTGAACAAGGCTGTAGGATCACAAATTGTCCACTCTACTCATACTTTACCACTGACAATGTCTGGACAGCAAGGTGTAAAAGGTAATTTCTTTCTTGACAGATATTTTTTTCCTTTGGAGTTGATTTTAACAACTAATTTTGGGTATCCAGCCAGTAACAATAGTGATCTGTCTACATAGTTTGAATCAACTTGAATCATGAGCTCACTAGAATGACTGGAAAGTATTTTGCTCAATGACTGAAATAGTAAGAAATAACAGTGCTATTGAAAAATGTTCGTAAGTAAATTTGCTTCGCTTTATGGTGGAATTTAATGCAGCTTGCAGAGTAAAAGGATAATGCAGGGGACTTCTTCCGGGAGTGTAGACCTGTTCAAAAAGAGAATGATTATGGCTGAACAGAGTCCATAAATTGCAGTATAGCTAGATAGAAAGTTGCAGGTGATTCTATGGTTAATAGCAGAGGGAAGAGACAGTGCTTTTCAACATAAGAAAATTTAAATCTATCGTAAAACCAAAAATACAATCCATGTTTATCTTTGCTATATCATTTGGTAAAGTCCTATAAGTTAATTTTGTGGTGAAGATAGGTCATCATATGATTCAGTTAAACATAGCATTCGTTCAGGTCATATATCAATATCATAGGAAAAAAATGGTAAGGATTTCTATTGCTAATGCTGTGAAGAAGGCAGAGGATCAGAAACAATAAAAGCTGTGATGTTAATCAGATTTTGCCCACTCAAAGAAAGTTCAGTCAGCTTCAGGTTTCCATTTCCCCTCATACTTTTTGTGAGGTGACAAGTTCTGATGACCTTGAAGAGAAGTGTTGAATTTGTTTCCTGTGTGTCCTGTGACTCTAGGTAGCATTTTATCTGGGTGCGATCCTGTCCATCTGGAACAACTCCTGCAATTCAGTTTTACAACATATGAATTAGTGTGAATGTTGTTTGTTTGAATTGCCAGATCGATGGGGGGTTTTGGGGTTTTTTTCCTGAGGGTAATTTTATGATTATCTCTTCAAGATTGCTACCTCTAAATAAAAAGAAAGTATAGGGGGGGAAGATGTGAGGAGACTCAGTTGTTGGCAACTAGTTCCTGAATAACTTTGCTGAAAGAGGCCAAACTATTTATATGTTTGTAATAAATATAATCTAATGTAGTAATTCTGTTTTCAGACAGGGACATAGCTGTGAAGGAAGTGTTGATGGTATCCTTCTGGAAAAACAATATTTTATAAATGCTTTTTAAGTATCTGCTCCATCTTTTCAATGGATTTTTTTTTCTAGGGACTGCTACCCAGTCCATTGGGAAATAGTTTCCACTGACATGTTGGAGTATTAGTCCCTAAAGCTCCCCAGAACTTTTCAGACTCTAAACAAAAAAAGGGGAAAGGGGGGAGGAATAAGTGAATAAATTAATATAATTAATATATTATTTAATCAGATTTAGAGTTGCTGTCTTAAAATACACAATAGGTTTCTCATTGCTAAAGAATCTGACCACTTGAACATTTTTTTTCCTGACCTTCTTGTCCTCATCAGAACCATCAGGAGTTACAGTGCTTTTTCTTCTCTTTCCATGCCCAAATGAGGATGTTGGACTGTGAAGAGAGGAGTATTTCATTTCTTTCAAGGAAAGAATAAAACAGTTCATCCTGAAATGGCTGGCAGAAATAAAAATTAATCAGCACATCTAGGCAGTGATCCAAGACCTGGAGAGGATTGTGGTAATAATATTACATCTGAGGAACCAGCCTAAATTTGATGTTTTCAGCATCTGAACATCTCTAGGTGGACTGATAGATTAAAGCAGAACTATCAGTGATTTCTTTTGAGGTCTAATATATTCTTTAGCAGCTGGAGAAATTAGTTGAAAGACTCCCTTTTCATACATAAAAAAGCATGATAGTAAGTAGGGGTGAGGTTTGTTATTTTCACAGCCAGACTATGCTGTCTTATCTTGCCCTGCAAAACGAGTCTAATAGCCTGAGAAGGGCCTTAGTGCTTCTTTTTGTAACGCTGAATCTTTTCCTTGTGGGTTTACCTGTAACAGAACTGATGTAGCAATAAATTTTGCTTGCCTTCTGCAACAGACAAGATCTGAAGAGCCATTGAGGCCATGTTTTGCTGACTTTCTACTACCTTATTCCTGATGTTTCTGTCTGCAATATATTGAAGATTTTCATAAATGAAACAATGCAGGGCAGAGTAAAAATAAGTTTTGGGTTTTTTTTAAGGAGTTCCTATGTGAGACCAATTAATGCTGAAAATGTGCCTAGAGAAATGAAAATAATGTGAAATATCAAAATAATACAATTTAAAGCAGCTGAAATAAATGAAATGTGCTTCCTTGGAAATGGAGCTGTGAGGTTGAAGTTTGTAAATAAGAATTGAAAATGCCTTATCAAGTTCCACAGAACAGTCTGGCCTCCTGTAGGCAAGGAGACAATTCAGAAGACTCAACAATCTAGTATGTATTATAGAGAAAATATGTCAAATTATATTAGTTGGTTCTTGATGTTTGGAAGGGGTATTACATCTAATGGATTGGCTGGCCTCGAGTAATCTGTGCAGTACTTGCTGATGAGAGAGACCCAGCCAGACATGGTAAACGCTAACTTTGTTATGCAGCTTACAAACTATAAAACTTTTTACACACCTCTCCTCCCTGCCCCCCCAATAATAATTTGAGCTACATGTTTAAAGGGCATTTTGTGTTTCAGTGAGAAGAAGCTTGAGGGTCATAAACAGTTCTGTGCACATTAAGTTGACTGGAGGGTCTCAATCTGTATACCCAGACTTAAAACTACAACTGTATTTAAAAACGGAAGTATCTGAAAAACATTGCCTCCCTCTTTATCTGCCAAATCCTGAATTCAAAGTTCAATGAAGGGAGTGGTGGTTTTAGATGGTTGAGATGCTGGCAAGTGTTGCAGGGGCAAACTCAGGACTTGGCAGGTATATAAAGGTGAAGGGATGAAATCTGAAGCTTTTTCTGTGTTCCAGAGAAAGATGATGGATCTGAAAAAGAAAATAAAGCTTACTATATATCCAAAAATAACCCAGTGGAGTTTGAATTCTGGAACTTTGAATGGGATTCTTATTACACAGTATGACCACAAATATTAATGTCACACCAGCCAATTTGGACATCCATGTTTATGTAGCAGTCTTTACAATGCTATAACGTCGTTCTTTCCTGTGTGAAGAGTTTTCATTTTCTGCGTTGTGAATGAGACTCTATGCATTCTTTCAGCCTTCTCTCTAACCCCCAAATTTGGGCTTTGTTTGTATTTTGGTCACTTCAAGGCACTCTATAAAAATTCTAATGTACAAAAAAGAGATGCCTTAGAGGTGCCTAAGATCTTTTTTTTGACATATTTTATTACCAATTTTAATGTGTTTTTCCTTCATTTATTTTAGTGAAGTTCCCTCCTAACATAGTGAATATCCACGTGAAACATCCCCCTGAAGCCTCAGTTCAGATCCATCAAGTTTCAAGAATTGACAGCACATCAACAGGACAAAAAGCGAAAGTACCTCAGCCAGGACATCCACAGGTCTCTTACCAAGGTCTTCCGTATCAGAAGACCCAGAAAGGACATACTACTTACACAAATCAACAACCCATTCCTCATATGTTTCCTGTTTCAGTTAAAACTCAGCTTGGGCGCTGCTTCCAGGAGACTATTGGGACACAGGTAAGAAACGTTTGCTAAGGCTTTGAGACACATAGCTTTAAAACAATATCATAAAGGAATTAAAAAATTCTTCACCAATAACAGGCAAAGGATGCATTTGACATTCTTTTCCAGAAAATTCCTGTGAGAATGGACTGTAAAATGTTTTACAAAGTAACATTCTTCTGAACCTTCTTCTCCTTCAAGCAAATATCTTTATTTTCTGTGTATTTGGATCCCTGATGTTCTGATTTCAGTTATTCTAGCCATAACCTCTCCATTTATAATCTATTTCTCCAAATTCAAAAACATGACTTAAATCCTAGCTCCATCTCTCCTGATTGAGCAGCTAAGGTTACACCATCTTCCACAGCTTGTACTGTCCTTTGGTTTAATGAGTGCTTTTGCACGTGTATCTCAACAGCCAGTGTTTTTCAAGGAGTTGCAGTTTTCACTGAAGTTCCTATTCAGCAACTTCATATGTTTTACAGTATGGTAGGGTAATGTTTTGAATCTGTTGAAATGTGACCATTGAATGGGGTAGAAAAATCATGAAAGCTGATTGAGTGTTTGCTAGAGCATTAAAACCTTAGTTAGGTTTAAAATAATATGTTCATGTCAGTTTTTACATATGACTATTCAAAATTGCAAATCTTTTTTCAGCTCTTGAAAGCACTTTAAGTGACACAGCATTATCATTTTCGCATATTTGCAAATATATGTAAATATATGGAGAGACAAAAAAATGCATTTGTGGAGAGATTGTAAAAAAGTTAGTAAGACCCTGTTATTTATTGCTTATCACCTTGCCAAAATTTAACTTTTCAGATCAATTTTTTTTTTTTACATGCATGCCTCAGGCTGAAATTTTGTGGGAGGTTTCAGAAAAATCACTCGTTTTGAGGGATGATGTTAGAGTACGAATATGTTGCTTTATTCAGGCTAAAAAAATAATTTACAACTGTTTCAATGAAGATTTGGATCATCTGTATGCTTTGAAGTAGAAGCTTAAATTTATCAAAAAGGTCACTCTGGTTTTGGTCCTTCCAGTAACATGCACCCAAAGTTCACCAATTTTCAAGCATCTAAAAACATATCTATTTACAATATATTCCACAAACTTTTGATAGGTGTTGGCAGCAAAATTCTCCAAAGGTTTCACCTGCACAGAGCATGGTCTGTCTTCCCCTCAGAGGCACAGCACCTGTCACCTCTGAAATGCAGGACTGGAGTAAAATATCCTTTACATATGTTTTTTCTAGCTGTCAGTGAATGCTGTGATGCCAAGCATTAGAACTAACAACAAGGAAATTTTCTCATGGCTCCCAAGCAGCATGCATACAACAAAAAAAAAGAAAAAAAAAGGGGGAAAAAAAAGCAAGAAGGAAGAGACCTCACTCACAGAGGGGCGAGCAGCTTTGGAGAGGATCAGTGATGGGGAACAGACAGGAGCAGAAGCAGGATGCTGTCAGAGGCAGGGTGAGGATAACGAAGGTGGCAGATCCCAGGATAGTGATAGCAATTACCTGCTGGAACCTCAAATTGAAATCACAGTTCCGTAGCCTCGGTCATCCTCCCTCAGCTCCAAAGAACTGACTTTTTTTCTTGTAAAATGTTTTTCTCTTTTCCTTTCAGTGACTGGCTTCTACAGAGTATTGTAGCATTCCTACTAGTGACATAATTAACTCTAGTTTCAGAAGTCATTGCTGTGGAAGTAAAGAGTCCAAAACCTGCTCATGCTAGGTCATCACATGAGGGTGTTTAAAAAAAAATTCATTCTGAAAAATGCTATAGAAGGAGTAAATTTAAATGTCATCATGCCCCAGAAATATTTCTAGAAGACCAGAGTTAAGTTTGTGTATGGAACATTAAAGGCCAGTGTTTGGTAATTGTTGAATGCGTGATTTGGGATCCACAGTGTTAATTTCTAGGCATGAACCCTTCATGCTTGTCTATTTCAGGAATAGTAAAACCTTGAATTTGTTCTTTTACAAGTGTTGAAGCACATGTTCAAATGAAAGTTCATGGATTTTTACATGGCAAAATGAAGCAGGGCCTGTGTCAAACAACCATTTCGCTGTATTTCCTAAGAATGAGAGATCTAACATAGCATTATAATGTACAATCATAAAATGCTGGAAATAATTGTAATAATAGTTGTTTATTACTTATTTGCATTTCTGTTTGCACTCATATATAGGGGAAGACAAAATTCTTTCCTCCATCTTAGATTTGGCAGCGGATGCTGCATCTTTTATCTCTTACCTCTTATGCTTGGTGTATTTCTTGTCTGTTCTTTCTGCTGCATGAATGAATGAGGTATTTTGAATGACATATCCAAACTTGCAGTGTCCTATGCATGCCCTTCACATTGACACATCTGCCCCTCACAGTGCTTTAAAAACTAAAACTTCCTCATTGCTCACCAGAAGACAGTAACATGCTCATTTTAAAGGGGGAGAAAAGGAGAAATATGCCTGCATTGCCCTCATACCTGACTTGGAATCCTACTAAATGCTCAATCTCCAATTTTTATAATGGGTTTTTTTCATTTCAGTATTCCCCTAGAAAAATGTGTCTTTGCAGTGCTCTCAAGAAAGGGAAGTGCCTCCTAGTTTAGAATAATGCATGTTCTTATTTTTTTACAAATTTCATTGATTTTTCAGTGTCAGTCTTGGAGAAGAGCATAGTAAGGATTTCAAAGGCCTTTTGCTATTTAATTTAATGGTTCAATTTAGAATTGGAGTTTTACTGTGGCATTTTGTAGAGCATTCATTTAAGACCTTGCCTAAATACAGATTGAAGTGACTCATTCACCTTTCAAATTTGAAACTGAAATGTTAATGTTTTTCCTGCGGTCATGCAATGCATGTGATTTATTTGTATGTTAAATATACCTTGAACTGGAAAAACTTTTTTCCCTCTTAAATAGATCTATTCTTAAAGAATTTGGTTTTCTGTTTCTTTGATATTTGCTTTGCTAAATATGAGGGTTCTCTTTATTTGTTCAGACAAGCTGCTAAACTGAGCTTTCCCTATTAGTAGCAATGTGTTACAGCTTTCTGGAGTTTATGCTGGATAATTTTGATATCCATACTGTTTTCAACAATCATCAGTGTTTATACATTTTTTTACAGGGTGGATTGTATGTTTGGCTTCAGAAATGTTTTATTAAATATCCTGAGATCAGAGGTGACTTTCCTGTCTATAGAACAGATTGATGGAAGGATACGTGTGTGGCCTCTTGTAGGCAGATCTACCAAGTTAATAAAGACTTTGCTGAACTTAGTTTTGGTCCAGGCTAAAAGCACAGGATAAAAACAGTATCAGAATCTCTACTGTGGTTTTGTGTGTGTGTAATGTCTACCATTCTATGTTTCTCTCCATCTCTTGTTCTCTCCTTCTTCTTTGAATTTCAGCTGGTCTTCAATTACAGGTCCTCTAATTTTAATCCTTTGGTTTTTTTCACAACCTTCTGTGGAATATTTTTCATTTCCCAATGCATTCTTCCTCACCCCACCTTAGTTAATTCCTTTAATGTATCTTGTTCAAAAACAGTAGTCCTGCAAAAACAGTAGGGTAGTTGCTATACTCAAATCCCAAGACAGCCAGGGCGTATTTTCTACCGTGCGTTTCCAGCAGAGCGCATACTGTTAAAGTTAGCAACTGGAGCCACCCTGAACTGAAGTTTGGAGGGCATTATGGTACAGATAGTTGAAGAATCTGGTTGTATTCTTAGGCCTCTGATCACTCCTAATTAACATCATAGAAATTCTTCTAGACCTCCTATTCGCTTAGTTGTCTGTAGTATCATAATTGACTATAACCAAAGGCAGCAACCATGAGAAAAGCGTACTAAAAGGTGTGTGAAAAGATGTCAATCTACAAGCTTAGAAGGACAGGACAGGAGGAGAGAGAAGAGGGCTAGAGGAATGAAATTTCCTAGTTTAATTAGAATAGATAAAGATGTATGTTTTCATAAATATATATACACATGTATGTATGTGTTGCTCAATTGTGACTGTTTTCTGAAGTGTCCTCAGCATTGGGAAATGAAGTGGAAAGAGCAACTATAAAAGTAAATATGGGGGGGAGGGGAAAGTAATATAGGATCAAATAGTGTTCTGGATGGCTTTTTGACTCAAGTCAATTCACTTTTCCTGGTTGCCTCTCTTTTCTGTGAGTCAAACACTTAGCAATTATTTCTCCTCTGGGAGATGTTAACGATGATTGCTCCAGGATAGCTTACTATGTTACGTGATAGCTTACTATGATATGTCACGTACAAAAGTTGTGGTTCATCAAATGCTTTCCTAGTACCAAAAAGATTTTTGCAGGATATATTATAAACTAGCAGTTAAGCTGCAGGCTTATTGTTGTCATAAAAATATAGGAAACCTTCACCTGAACTTGAACCTTGTATATAGAAAATGATGTTGAGAAAATAGAGACTTGATGTTGGGAAACAGATACAATGGAAGCAGTGGGACAAAAATCCCACTTAAGATGGAGAACAGTAGATTTGTGGAGAGCACTGTATGTTATGGTGCCTCCAAACACTGGAGACTGGACATGGTGTCTGTCCTGCAAGGTCCCTTACAGCCATGTAGTTCTGTGTTTCTGAAATCCACGGAGTTGGTCATCTTAGACCATTGATTCTCTAAGCCCTTTAAAAAGCAAGCAAATAAGGAAGATTATGTTTCTCCTCTTTAATTCCTCCTCTTCAGCTGCATTTCACTTTAATTCTAATAAAAATGCCTTTATTATGATACAGAATATCATGTTATTTCCCAAAATACTTCTATAGTGTCAGTGGTACACCTAGTAAAGATTGTGTTGGTAATCTCGAGTCCTGTTAATTTTGCATATGATTGCTTTGCATTTAAATCGAGAAAAGAATGCAGATCTGTCAAAATTTATCTGTCAAAATTCATATAAAGACAACTAAGCACCACTTTTTTTTCCCCCTTTAAGATCACTTTGAAGTATCTACTTAAGTATATTCATGTGTTTTTCTATGG